TGTAGCTCCAGTTTCATCTACTGGCAGGGGGTTGGTGCTGGACCTGTAGCTCCTGCTCCCACCCCCCCCCACTTCTACTGGCAGGGGGTTGGTGCTGGACCTGTACCTCCAGCTGCCCCTCTACTGGCAGGGGTTTGGTGCTGGACCTGTAGCTCCAGCCCCCCCTCTATTGGCAGGGGATTGGTGTTGGACCTGTGTCTCCAGTCCCCCTTCTACTGGCAGGGGGTTGGTGCTGGACCTGTAGCCCCAGTCCCTCTCTACTGGCAGGGGATTAGTCCTGGATGTTGTGATGGTGTCCCCTACAGTTTCTCCCATATGCCAGGTTTAAGAGTCATATCAGCTTACCTGCAGGTTCTCTGAGGCGCAGGGAATCTTTTGAGGTATGAGGCTTCCCGAATGGTTGTTAATTTGGGGAGAAATTTGCCTTTGTAAATTTGCAGAGAAGTGGAAAATTCGCGCCCTGGGTACAACAAAATGGCGCCGCCTGGCTTGCAAATCCATCATTTTATGTACGACGCCCTCTGATTCGGTGGCTGGGGTCACATGACTTCATTGACCCATCAGAGCCCGCCCCTGGGTCTGTGACGTCACCGAGAGATCTGGCCCGCCACCTGCAGAGCGCCAGGCGCTCAGAGATACTTGGCGCTTCGTTGAGAGCGGACGTACGCTGATTGAGCTCTCTAGTTCTGAGGTCTAGGAGCCTCCATAAGTGGATATACACAGCCTGACGAGTATATAGTGACTAAAAAGGACTGCAGAACTTCAGGGAAGTGCGAGGAAGCCTAATCCAGCGGTAAAAGGGCGCCGAGGACCGTGTGCTAATAGTTTTGGAGAAGTTGAGAGAGTTACGAAGGCTGGAGGAGTGAGTGACTCGCTGTCGGTGAAACTCCAAAGCATTCAGAGCTGTTGTGACTGGATCACGCCTACTAGGAACTGAGAAGGAAGAAAGTGCATCCTGATCCTTGAGTGTGGCCTCGGTGAAGGAATGCTTGAGGGAACGACGCATGCAGTGACGAATGGATGAGCCAACGCCCAGGAACATCACTCAGGGAATGAGTACGAAGATGCCGAGGATCTTCACACCTATGGACTGGTGATGCTTCTGGAACACTGGGAACAACGCGAGGAACGGAGTACCCAACGGGCGACTGGAGCCTAGGCGTCTGAGGACGGGATATGTTAAGGTAGATCATATTTCCCTCCCATAATTCCCTTGATTGTTAGGCAAGATAGGCCTATTATTATGCGTAGGCATTTATTAGGTGGCAACATGACTGTACATTTGAATTCTAGTATTGGCAGCACACAGTAAGGTCCTAGGCTGCTGTAAATATATTATATTTGAACTAACGGCGTTGTTGGGACGCAGAGAGAATTACCCAGCTGGCGACCAGGAAGGAAGAGGTGAAAGTGAGGCTACGGCCGGAAGTCCGGCAAATTCTCTGCACGCACAGGTGGGCAGGCCCGGTGGTGGAGTCACATACTGCAGGATTGAGTTTAGTAGTGTGGGCTGGGCCTTCTCCTCTCCCCCTTGGGTCCAAGGTCAAGTGATGACCGGTCTTGAGGCACAACTAGGAGAGCTCCCTGGGGTGAAATGTGATACCCTAGTGGAGGGAGTGAAGTCCCACGGTGTGAGGTTATAGGATCAGTAGCACGATTCCCCGCTGTTTAACTGTAACCTCATGTAACACAAGGCCGAGGTGAGCGGCGCGTGACAACCTGTAGCTCCAGCCTCTATATACTGGCAGGGGGTTGGTGCTGGACCTGTAGCTCCAGCCCCCTCTACTGGCAGGGGGTTGGTGCTGGACCTGTAGCTCCAGCCCCCCTCTACTGGCAGGGGGGTTGGTGCTGGACCAGTAGCTCCAGCCCCCTCTACTGGCAGGGGGTTGGTGCTGGACCTGTAGCTCCAGCCCCCTTTACTGGCAGGGAGTTGTTGCTGGACCTGTAGCTCTAGCTCCCCTCTACTGTCAGGGGGTTGGTGCTGGACCTGTAGCTCCAGCCCCCCCTCTACTGGCAAGGGGTTGGTGCTGGACCTGTAGCTCCAGCCCCCCCTCCACCAGCAGGGGGTTGGTGCTGGACCTGTAGCTCCAGCCCTCTTTACTGGCAGGGGGTTGTTGCTGGACCTGTAGCTCCAGCCCCCCTCTACTGGCAGGGGGTTGATACTGGACCTGTAGCTCCAGCCCCCCTTCTACTGGCAGGGGGTTGGTGCAGGACCTGTTGTTCCAGCCCCTCTCTACTGGCAGAGGTTTGGTGCTGAACCTTTAGCTCCTGCCCCATCTACTGGCAGGGGGTTGGTTCTAGACCTGTAGCTCCAGCCCCTCTCTACTGGCAGGGGGGTTGGTGCTGGACCTCCAGCCCCCCTCAACTGGCAAGGGGTTGTTGCTGGACCTGTAGCTCCAGACCCCCTCTACTGGCAGGGGGTTGATACTGGACCTGTAGCTCCAGCCCCCTCTACTGGCAGGGGGTTGGTGCTGGACCTGTAGCTCCAGCCCCCCTCTACTGGCAGGGGGTTGGTGCTGGACCTGTCGCTCCAGCCCCCCTCTACTTGCAGGGAGTTGGTGCTGGACCTGTAGCTCCAGCCCCCTCTACTGGCAGGGGGTTGATGCTGGACCTGTAGCTCCAGCCCCCCTCCACTGGCAGGGGGTTGGTGCTGGACCTGTAGCTCCAGCCCCTCTCTACTGGCAGGGGGTTGGTGCCGGACCTGTTTCTCCAGCCCCTCGCTACTGGCAAGGGGTTGGTGCTGGACCTGTAGCTCCAGGCCCCCTCTATTGGCAGGGGTTGGTGCTGGACCTGTAGCTCCAGCCCCTCTCTACTGGCAGGGGTTGGTGCTGGACCTCCAGCCCCCTTCTACTGGCGGGGAGGTTGGTGCTGGACCTGTAGCTCCAGCCCCCCTCTACTGGCAGGGGGTTGGTGCCGGACCTGTTTCTCCAGCCCCTCGCTACTGGCAAGGGGTTGGTGCTGGACCTGTAGCTCCAGGCCCCACTCTACTGGCAGGGGTTGGTGCTGGACCTGTAGCTCCAGCCCCCCTCTACTGGCACGGGGTTGGTGCTGGACCTCCAGCCCCCTTCTACTGGCGGGGAGGTTGGTGCTGTACCTGTAGCTCCAGCCCCCTCTACTGGCAGAGGGTTGGTGCCTGACCTGTAGCTCCAGCCCCCTCTACTGGCAGGGGGTTGGTGCTGAACCTGTAGCTCCAGCCCCCTCTACTGGCAGAGGGTTGGTGCTGGACCTGTAGCTCCAGCCCCCTCTACTGGAAGGGAGTTGGTGCTGGACCTGTTTCTCCAGCCCCCTCTACTGGCAGAGGGTTGGTGCTGGACCTGTAGCTCCAGCCCCCTCTACTGGCAGAGGGTTGGTGCTGGACCTGTAGCTCCAGCCCCCCTCTACTGGAAGGGAGTTGGTGCTGGACCTGTAGCTCCAGCCCCTCTCTACTGGCAGGGGGGTTGGTGCTGGACCTCCAGCCCCCCTCAACTGGCAAGGGGTTGTTGCTGGACATGTAGCTCCAGTCCCCTCTACTGGCAGGGGGTTGATGCTGGACCTGTAGCTCCAGCCCCCTCTACTGGCAGAGGGTTGGTGCCTGACCTGTAGCTCCAGCCCCCTCTACTGGCAGGGGGTTGGTGCTGAACCTGTAGCTCCAGCCCCTCTACTGGCAGAGGGTTGGTGCTGGACCTGTAGCTCCAGCCCCCTCTACTGGAAGGGAGTTGGTGCTGGACCTGTTTCTCCAGCCCCCCTCTACTGGCAGAGGGTTGGTGCTGGACCTGTAGCTCCAGCCCCCTCTACTGGCAGAGGGTTGGTGCTGGACCTGTAGCTCCAGCCCCCCTCTACTGGAAGGGAGTTGGTGCTGGACCTGTAGCTCCAGCCCCTCTCTACTGGCAGGGGGGTTGGTGCTGGACCTCCAGCCCCCCTCAACTGGCAAGGGGTTGTTGCTGGACATGTAGCTCCAGTCCCCTCTACTGGCAGGGGGTTGATGCTGGACCTGTAGCTCCAGCCCCCCTCTACTGGCAGGGGGTTGGTGCTGGACCTGTAGCTCCAGCCCCCCTCTACTGACACGGGGTTGGTGCTGGACCTCCAGCCCCCTTCTACTGGCGGGGAGGTTGGTGCTGGACCTGTAGCTCCAGTCATCTCTATTGGCAGGGGGTTTGTGCTGCACCTGTAGCTCCAGCACCCTCTACTGGCAGGGGGATGGTGCTGGACCTGTAGCTCCAGCCCCCTCTACTGGCAGAGGGTTGGTGCTGGACCTGTAGCTCTAGACCTCTTCTACTGGCAGGGGGTTGGTGCTGGACCTGTAGCTCCAGCCCCACTCTTCTGGCAAGGGGTTGGTGCTGGACCTGTAGCTCCAGCCCCCTCTATTGGCAAGGGGTTGGTGCTGGACCCGTAGCTCCAGCCCCCTCTATTGGCAGGGGGTTGGTGCTGGACCTGTAGCTCCAGCCCCCCTCTACTGGCTGGAGGTTGGTGCTGGCATTGTTTGGGAGTTTGTTGGCAGTTTTAAGGCTTCAGTCTCTTGGAACCCAGCAGTGGTCTGTTTTGGTTCACTGTCTGACTGGATGCTTTCCCGGTAGGTTGGTGGAGTGTCACCCGCTCTCTGGGCCTCTGGGACGGGGGCCAGGATCCCGGGTTCAATTGAGGATCACGGGCTCAATCACCGAACCGGTGGCTGAGCGGACAGAACACTGGACGCGTGATCCTGTGATCCCGAGTTCGATTCTGGATGCCAGTGAGAAACAACGGGCAGATTTTCTTTTACCTTGATGCCCCAGATACCTAGCAGTAAATATTTACCTCGGAATTAGTCAGCTGGCATGAGCTGCTTCCTGGGGGTGGAGGCCTGGTCAAGGATCGGGCCGCAGGGACACTAAGCCCCGAAATCATCTCAAGATAACCTCAAGATAACCGTGCAGCACAGAAATGGTTCACATGTTTCCTTCCATCTGATGCCTCTGTTTACCTACCAGTAAATCTTTATCCAGGAGTTAAGCATCTATTGTGAATAGTATGTTAAGGAAAGTCTATAGTTGACCTTGGGGAACCTCGATATACTTAAGAACAAACTTCCTCTCCTCAAAACGCAACTCAATATCTTGTGATATGATCTATGAGAAAAAATAAAAAAACTTACTGTTAATTGCTTCTGGTGGATCTGTCCAGTGATTTCCTGAACTTTATTCATGATGATGGAGGCTGAGTCTCCCAGGTGTACGGGGTCAGCTGTGGCACCTGTCTCTGTGGTCATCATCTCCAGGGCCTCCCTGATGGTCTCCTGCACCTGTCATTACCAACACAAACATTAATGGTGGAGGCTGAGTCTCCCAGGTGTACGGGGTCAGCTGTGGCACCTGTCTCTGTGGTCATCATCTCCAGGGCCTCCCTGATGGTCTCCTGCACCTGTCATTACCAACACAAACATTAATGGTGGAGGCTGAGTCTCCCAGGTGTACAGGGTCAGCTGTGGCACCTGTCTCTGTGGTCATCATCTCCAGGGCCTCCCTGATGGTCTCCTGCACCTGTCATTACCAACACAAACATTAATGGTGGAGGCTGAGTCTCCCAGGTGTATGGGGTCAGCTGTGGCACCTGTCTCTGTGGTCATCATCTCCAGGGCCTCCCTGATGGTCTCCTGCACCTGTCATTACCAATACAAACATTAATAGTGGCACCTGGACTATAATGAAGCATCAGGCTCTGAGTAAAGTAACTGGACTATAATGAAGCATCAGGCTGTGAGTAAAGTAACTGGACTATAATGAAGCGTCAGGCTCTGAGTAAAGTAACTGGACTATAATGAAGCATCAGAATGAGTAAGTAATTTGACAACATAAGTAATTTTGTTTCTCTACACTGACCACAGTGTAGAAAAACACCAAGATGACAGTTGACTTTATTAATAAAAATGTTTCAGGTGTTAGAGCAAAATGTTTCGTATCTATAAAGTCAACTCTCATCTTGATGTGTCTCCATGTCAAAAGTGTTTATATAGAGGCAATACTACACTCAGTTGGGTGAGAACAATGTGACCTTCAACAGCGTACCTTCACTGAGGTGTGGACAGTCTTGACATCTGGGAAGAGTTCCTGGCACTTCTTGAGCCAATCTTCTACCTTCATGCTGCACTCATCAGCTGTGCCTATTGTTATGTAAACTTCCTGTGGGGTGTTGACTGTGTCGAGGCTCCCCAACATGGCCTGCAGCTGAGTCTTTCCTTCCTCTCCTTGTGTTGTCATATCCACCACACTGGTATCCTCCAGTTCCAAGAGCTTCATTGCTGACTTGTTCTGCTCTACCAGAGCATAGAGTCTGTCCTGGAGCTGGAGGTGGCAAGTCTTCCAGTCCCCCAACTGGCCCCGATACTCCCCCAGCTGGGACAGTACCTCTTCACAGCTAGTAATGAGGCTGCTGATGCTGCTCTTCTGCTCCTGCACCAGGGAATGTAACTTCTTTTTTATTGGTACAGTTTTCTTTTGTGTTAGCTGGATATCTTTCAGTTTCCTAACAAATGCCTCCATGCCATAGCTAATTGGGAACTGAGTAGCAGCTGTGGCAGCGTGCTCGGCACGGCAGCTGGGGCAGGTTAGTTGACCATTCTCGATAGCATTGTCAATACACTGGGAGCAGAATGTGTGGCCGCACGGCAGTGTGCGAGGCCGTAGCTGATTGTCATCATAATCGTTATAACACACTGAGCATTCCTCTGGCTTGTTATCCTGTGGAAAGAATAATTGGTTAAGCTATATGTATTATTACATTACAGTGTCTCCTCGAAAAAAAGTAATATTACAGTACAGGTACTTTATTTACTAATAGTAATTATATAATATTTACATACATTTTTTGTATTAGCTATTCAAGAGCAGAGTTAATATTACTGACAGATTAACATATCCACAGAAGGGCCAATATTTTTTATAAATATATCCCGGAGTATAGGATAATATTTTTAGGTAACATATGGCAGCAGTAGGGCTGCTTGCAAGCTGTACCCGAGATTACAGACTAACAAAACCCGTCCTTACTTTCTTACGAATATTGGAAGGAAATGTATTTATCGTATGTGATAATGGAGGAAAGATCAAGTATTCTTAGTTTAAGTTGGTCTTAGTCCCTCGAAAGGGAAGACAACGAAGGGAGCGCAAGTCCCTCAAGATGCTCACAAAGTAATGGGAGTACTTAAGCGAATTTTCATTGTGGGAGATTCCCAGGTGAGGTATTTGGCTAAAACGTTTTGTGCCAAGGATAGGGGAAACAAGTTAAGGGTTTGCTATTCGGGAGCAGGAATTGGTGATATTGTTAACAACATGAATGATGTTATAACTGGAAATGGGAACAAACCCATTATTTGTATCAGTGCCGGTGAAAATGTTGTAGGACAAGTTAGGAGTGAGACACTGATACAGAGGTCTAAGACAGCCATAGAATTAGTTAGGAGCAAGGGAGGAATCCCGGTCATATGTGGCATTCTTCCAAGAAAGGGAGATGGAAACGAATAGTTGACGAGAGCACTTGGTGTCAATTGCCAACTGGACAAATATTGCAAATTAAATGCAATATCATTCGTAGATAACTGGGAACACTTCAATGGAAGAAATGACATGTATGCTCAGGACGGGGTGCATCTATCTAGGGCTGGGGTGGTTGCTGTTGCCAACTCATTGGAACCTGTGGTTGGAGGGGTTTGTTTTGGTTTAAACTGTAACTGGATAGGTTATAGAAATTGATATGGAGAAAGGAGGTAATAAAAGTATGTGTTAGTAGAGGAAGCAAATTGTCAAAACGAACAGGGGAAAGAGAAGCGCCTCAAAATAACAATACACTTAAGGTATATTACACTAATAGTAGGAGTTTAAGAAACAAAATACACAATTTAAATGCTCGTCTGCACAGAAAAAAAATTTATATTATTGCACTTACCGAAACATGGATGAAAGTAGAAAATAAAGAACTAATAGCTGAATATCAAATAAGCGGATTTAAACTATTTCACACAGATAAATATATTAGACGAGAAAGGGGGAGTAGCCATATATGTTCGGGAAAATTTGAAATGTAGTCTCAAAGAGGGAATCAAAACTGAGCTACACACAGAAACTATTTGGTTAGAATTAAATGAAAAAGCTATAATCTTATAATAGGAGTTATATAAAGGCCACCAAACTTTGACAGGATGGAAGCAAAGCATCAATGGGATGAAATATCTAGAGCATCTAGGTCAAGCAGCATTTGTGTCATGGGTGACATAGCTACTTACACAGTCAGCTGGTGGCGGCCGCCCTCAAGGCCAGACGCACTAATATTTCTCCTCCAACAATACTGTTTGTGGTGTTATTACCCTATATATGCACATTATATATAAGTATCTACCTGTTTTATTCACCATACTTGTACAAGTAAGCTGGTATGGTGCCCAAAGACCATAGTGGCTACCAGTAAACAACATAAGTTGTGCTCTCAACCTACTCCTATAGCTGTTATTACACTCTGTACACACGTTATATATAAGTATCTACATTTGTGTTCACCAAAGCCAACTACTAAGCTGGTATGGTGAGTGCAGTCAATAAAAGGTGGCCACACAGTCAGAAGACAACGCCACCACCCTCCCTCCCACAGCATTACTCCTCCCTCCATGGAGCACAGTGCTAAATATCACCACAATCCTACTATTATCAGAATCCTGGTCAGTTTTATCACAGTCAGGGGTCTTCTGTAATAATATCTTCGCTAAATAATAGCAAGAACATGTATATTATGGCATTTTTAGGCAATGCTGTGGTCACAAGCTGAACAGCAGTGCTGTGAGCTCATGCTGCGTGCGTCAGGCTTGGTTGCTTACTCAATACTGAGGCCCCTCACACCCAGGAATTTGGCCCACGATTTTTTTTTTAAATGGCGTCTGTTTACAAGAGCCCTGATGAAAGTGTGGTGAACCCCGTGTATCCGCGGGCCATTAAATCTTGCGTAGTACTCCAATACATCATATGATGTGTAGTGCAAGTTACTGCACATCACTGAACACATCATATGATGTGTTGCGCAGTTAACGGGTTAAGGAACCAATGCAGGAAAATAATATTTTAAACTTAGTGTTAACAGGAAAACACAAATTAATGAAATTGAAATAGGGAGTGAGCTAGGGAACAGAGATCATAAAGAAATCAGATTTAGCGTAGAATGGAATAGATTTATATGAGAAAATTCTGTTAAGGTGCCAGAATTTCAAAAAGCTGATTTTAATGATCTAAGAATGTTTTTGGATGAAATAGAGTGGAAAGTCCTGGGCACGGGAAGTGGGCTGGTCTTGGTGCGAGACGTGAACCCAGCAATTGGTGATGTAAAGAGGGATTTCAATGTGTATTCAAAATTTAACTTATCTAAAAATATTCTAAGCAAAGCACAGGAACGTAGTATGCCATACAGATTGAATAGATCGAATTCTAATGACCCGAAATGGATAACAAAGGATCTGAAGAATCTTATATGTAGAAAGAGAGCTTGGTACAAAAGGATTAGAAATGGGGAATTCAGTTTAGAACAAGAATTCATCCAACTGGTTAGAAATGTTAAAAAACCACCATTGAATGTAATGAAACATCATTTTCTGGGTGAGTCCCTTCGACTCCTCGGAGCTATCCAGGCTGATAAAGACATCCCTAACCTTTGGCATGACTCAGTGTGGATGGAGTTCTAGGCCTACCGGGGACCACAAGCCCTCTCAGAGAGGCACGAGGAGCAATGGCCTATAGAAATGCACATGTGATTTGGAGCATTCTATATTCATTCTGTGGGATATCAGCTGAATAACCAGAACATAATTTGTAGTCTCACATACAACCAAAGTGTACTTAAGCTCTGCCTTTCCTTTCCAAAGGTGTTTATTTTTATTTTTATTTTATTTTTTTGTTTGTCATCTTTGCCTGTTTTATACTCTTAATTATTTGTTCTTAGTTAATCCCCTTGTCACTAAACCTAGGGCTTTTTATTACCCTGTTAATTAACCATTACTAAGCTAATTATCTTCAAGATCATTTTTTTATGATTATTATTTTTCTTATTATTTTTTATTTTACATTTATATTGTCAGTCTCTACTGATTTTTTGTTTTTTATTTTATGTAACTTCTGTGTCCTCCCTGGCTATCTATTAGATCTTTATTTTACTTCTAAATTGTTACTATTTTATTGTATTTGCTTTTATTCTTGTGTTTTGCTTTATCGTGTATCTTGTATCGTGATCCCTCTGCATCTCTATGCACACTGATATTGATCTGATCAAAATCTTCTGTTTCATATCTATACCAACCAGCACATTGATCATCATTATTGCAAGTATTTCACAGCACACCAGGCTAAAAACAAACTCCAAAATAACACCTATCTATCAGTTTATAACCAAAATGTTAGATCACATTGGTAAACATTTTGACGATTTAAATGCACTACTCACAGCACTAGGTACTAACCTATCGTTCATTATTTTAACAGAAACTTGGCTAAATAAAGACTATACTCAACTCTACAACTTAGCTGGTTATAAAGCCATTCATAACTGTAGGCCTAATAAAAAAGGTGGTGGCACAGCTATATATTACCGAGATACATTTATCTGCAACAGTGTTATTAGTGACAGAGATGACTACTGTGAATATACTTTTGCTCAGTTTACAATTAAATCCCTTAAATCCTCTTTGACTATTGGAGCCATCTATAGATTTCCCAATACTAACATAGCTTCTTTCTCAGACAACCTAAGGAATCTTATTATAAACAACAATCTCAACAAAAACCACATCATTCTGGAAGGAGACTTTAATATTGACCTGGGTCAACAAAGTTGCTCTCAAGTTGACTATTTCCTTAACAGCATGAACTCCTGTATGCTAATCCCCACAGTCACCAAACCTACCCGAGTCACTCAAACATCAGCCACTACCTTGGACCACATATGGACAAACATAACAGCTCCCCTTGTATCTGGTATAATCTACGACAGAACAACTGACCACTATCCTACCTTTCTCATAGCGAACATGGACATAACACCACCAAAAAGCAAGAAACTTTCATTTAGGCTACACAGTGAATCAGCTTTAGACAATCTTACAGAGGCACTTCACAATATTACCTGGGATTCTGAATTCAATAATACCCATGATATAAATTCATTAGCTAACCTCTTCCTCTCCAAAACTCTAAGCCTCTACAACCTTCATTGTCCCCTTCTTACCAAGCAAGTAACTGACAAAAGATTAAACAATCCATGGCTCACAAGTGGCATTCTCAACTCAATCAACAAGAAACATGAATATGAAAAGAAAGTTAGGATTGGCCTAGTTTCAAAGGAAGTAGCTAAAAGGTACTCATCAATGCTTACCAGTATCATAAGAAAGGCAAAACTTGCATATTATGTGAATAGATTCAGTGAAGCAAAAGGCAACATGAAAAGCACTTGGAAAACTATCTCTAGTATCCTAGGAACTAAACAACACTCACATAACCAAATAAAACTCTACAAGGATGGGGATATACCGTCAACTGATTTAGAAATGGCAAATGAATTTAATAGTTTCTTTTCATCGGTTGGTGCTAATCTTGCCAGTAAAATCCCACAGACTCAGAAACATATTAACACATATCTCTCAGGCAGCTATCCAAACTCTCTTCTCCTTTCACCAATCAGCCCGGCAGATGTTGTGTCCATCATACACTCT